AAACTTATTCTTTCTTTTTTCTCTATATATTTTCCCATGTTTGGCACCATTATATCCAAATAACATTTCTTAATTTTTCGTTCCTATTTCTTTTTCACTATAATACTTGCTAGCCCTATTTAACTATTTATTATTTGCTATTTTTGATTTAATAAATTTCTGTATTCCTGTTCAGCGGTGAGCTTGGGGGTCTATAACACTGAAATTCGAGGCTCGATTTGTGTGGTGAGCACAGCACAGATGGCCTATTGTGCAGTTTTGTGTTTAACATGAAAAATAACTATACTTGCTAACTTATTTTGCTGTTCCCGTATTTAATACTACACCCGCAAGATTAGTCTAATATTTTATTATTTGCTTCTTTGACATTGTGTAAATGTAAAACTTGCGATTACTCCTTCTTTAGAGATTTCAATTTTGCTGGCTCCCCCCCCCCCCAATGGCTCAGAGAAAAATTTGAGAACTTATAACACCAAAATTCGGGTTTCGATTCCCGCGGTAAGCAGAGCTTTACGTTTAACAACAAACGAAAAATATTTACCACAACATTCCTTTTTAATTATCGCTTGACTCCTACCTATATGTCATGACTTTCCCTACCCCAATTTAAGTAACTTATAATTTTGTTTGTGTTTTGCTTCTTTCAGAATTGTTCCCCTTCACGATGGATCAGCGGTAATGTTACGACCTTATGATACTAAAATCTGGGGTTCGATTTCCCGTGGTGGACAGAGTGAAAGTAGCCCATTGTGTATCTTTGCTTTAAGAAAACAACTTGTTTCGGAATTTTCGAGCGAAATAACACAAAGCGAGATACGTGCACAGCCACCTCTATGTTTGAATTGATAGATTAGAGGGAAGGCAGCACTCATAGTCAACTCATGAGCTCATTTTGTTGGACCTAATAGTGGAATTTGATTTTCACTCTTATAACTCACTCAGAGTCTCAGAATACTGAGCGCCTTTTAGCGGAAATGGGATCAAACCATGAACCTTCGGATTCACAGTCCGAACATGTTAACCACAAGACCACGCTTGGCCTAATGGCGATTGAAAAAGAAAAAAAAATCACAGAAGATTTATGAACAACCCACAATGAAATATAATTGAAAGCTTAAAACGCATTAAAACAACAGTTTTTTCAAAGTCTTAGGGCAGATAAAAACATGAGTACACTGTACACAACAGTTTAAAACCCCCCACTTAGTTATCAATTTTTTTATTGCTTTCTTTGATATTTTGTGAAGAGAAATTCCGAAACGCTATTTTTGTTGAATTTGCAAACATGCCTTCCAAAAAACGCAGAATATTCGAATATTTGCGGTAATATTGTGATGATCGCATACAAATCGTTGTACCCTATACGATTGTCTAATCTATCAACGAATACTTAAGACTAATTATAATCGGTTACTAATCTTATTTTTTAGTTACTAGATATCAGTTAGTAACTAGATTTTACCCTACTTTCCTGTTGCTAATCTACTACAGTCTCCAGGAAAGTCCTGAGAATGACTATTTCTGTGGTGGTAGTGGCCGGGATTCGATCCTGGGTCTTCTTGATAATTATAGGACACTGACATTCACAATGATGGACTATTTTGTTGTTAACTGTTTGCCCCGAAATAAAGTTTAATTTTTACCGAAATCTGAACGCACACGTTAATGATGTATTGCTTAATAAAACAATTGTGATCTTAAAGCATAATTCGACTGTGTCACTTAGCGTTAATTATCACGTAAATAAAATGAAAATTGTGTATGTATAACTTACAAAATGTGCAGATGAAAATGTCAGTATGTTCTTTATGAAGCATTGGCACAATAAACAACAACAACAAAAAAGAAATACACGCCTACATTTAAAACAATTTCTTGAAATTGTATATCATTGCCTGCAGTCAAGTGATATAAGTTAAGTGTCCTAATTGTTTGTATTATTGCCTGCAGTCAAGTGATATAAGTTAAGTATCCTAACTGTTTGTATTATTGTCTACAGTCAACACTATAAGTTAAGTGATAACAAAGAAGTAGGAATTGTCTGTAGTCAAGTGCTATACGTATCCTAGTTGTTTGTTTTATTGTCTGTAGCCATGCGATATATGTTTCATAACTTGATAAGAGCTGACATCTGAAAACTAGAGTTGTAATTTTACAAAGAGTAACTACATAAAAGCTAAAACAATTTTCTTTCTTCTGTTCAAATTACTGTCTCAAAATTTAATATGGTTATAGAAACATTGCTAAACTTGCATGTGAATATATGGATTTTCCAGTGATATTATGCCATAAAACTACAGTTAAAGGTTTCTAGAGACTTTATTCCGTAAAACCAATTAATGAACCTTTCTGGCTTAATTATCTCAAGGTAAAAGTTTATTTCTGAAAGTAATGAGACAGGTTTTCAGGAAAATGGCAGAATGCGAACATAACAAACCTTTCAATAATCTGCTAAACAGAGTTTGAATGATACTGACCTTCATTATCGTCATTCTTTATGTGAAGGTCCTGAAGAGTATAAATATCCGTATTCCATGACTCTAACAAGGTCAAGTTAAGGTCCTGAAGAGTATAAATATCCGTATTCCATGACTCTAACAAGGTCAAGTTAAGGTCCTAAAGCGCATAAATATACGTATTCCATGCTCTAACAAGGTCAAGTTAAGGTCCTGAAGAGTATAAATATCCGTATTCCATGCTTTCACAGGGTCAAGTGAAAGTCCTGAAGCGTATAAATATACGTATTCCATGCTCTAACAAGGTCAAGTTAAGGTCCTGAAGAGTATAAATATCCATATTCCATGCTATCATAGGGTCTAGTGAAAGTCCTGAACAGTATAAATATATGTATTCTATGCTCTAACAAGGTAACTTTTCACTCTTTCTTTTTCTTGAAATTGAACCATTTTAAATGCAAACAAGAGCAAACACGGTGACAAACGTGCGCTGGGTTCCGGATTAAATCGGCTTGGAACATAGCACACAGCATGTTATTCATATTCTAACATTGAAAAATCTACGTGAACTGCGTTTAAGTAAAGCTACGTCAAAACACGAAAAAGAACAAACAAAAAATAATAAAAATGGTGAAATGGAATAAGAAAACGAAACATATGTCGATTTATAAAATGTAGGGACGAAAATATTTTATTGTTACATTTTAGTTCCATGAAACAGTAAAAAAAAAAATCCCCGAACTGATTTTTATTGTTAGTATTCAACACACAACGGGTAAAGAACAAAGGACAATGTTATCGGTATCACAGTATAGATGGCCCAAGATGTTTAGTTGGGGCTTGGAGCCAGTGTTGGCCATTAGATAATTTTCACACTTAGAGAAAAAAATATTATTTTTCAAGAATTTTAAAATTGTTAATTAATTTAACCACAAATAATTTTTATCTGTAAAGTATTTTCAATAATATCTGTTCCTAATCGTTCAATGTAATGGTAACAATGTCCAAAAAAATAACAAAAAACAGAACATTCTTAACTAATGTTTCCATTCATTTGAGTCCCCCAGTAGGACAGCAGTAGGTTTATGTTTGTTTGTTTTGAATTTCGCGCAAAGCTACATGAGGGCTATCTGCGCTAGCCGTTCCTAATTTAACAGTGTAAGACTAGAGGGAAGGCAGCTAGTCATCACCACCCACCGCCAACTCTTGGGCTACTCTTTTACCAACGAATAGTAGGATTGACCGTCACATTATAACGCCCCCACGGCTGAAAGGGTGAGCATGTTTGGTGTGACGGGGATTCGAACCCGTGACCCTCAGATTACGAGTCGAGCGCCTTAACCACCTGGCCATGCCGGCCTACAACACTAGAATCCGGGCACACTTAATTTCAATGTAATTTTGCGGTACCAATGCGCTTCTTACACCATTGTCATTACGTTTGTGCCACGAAATGGACATCATTTATTTATCCTAAGGTTGTTGTTGTTTTTAGATATTTTAAATGAATGTGCTGATAATTAGTGCAAACTTTACCACTTTAAGAAAGATATCAACCATCTAGGTAGAAGACTACAAATGTTTGAAACTAAAAACGGCGTTATTTATAGACCGGTACACACCATTGTCATTATGATTAAGTGTAATCGATGGGACAACCCATTATATTTTGATGTTATTGGTATTTAGGTACGTTATTTTCAACTATTATATTTTGATGTTATTGGTATTTAGGTACGTTATTTTCAACTATTATATTTTGATGTTATTGGTATTTAGGTACGTTATTTTCAACTATTATATTTTGATGTTATTGGTATTTAGGTACGTTATTTTCAACTATTATATTTTGATGTTATTGGTATTTAGGTACGTTATTTTCAACTATTATATTTTGATGTTATTGGTATTTAGGTACGTTATTTTCAACTATTATATTTTGATGTTATTGGTATTTAGGTACGTTATTTTCAACTCCGGAACATTATTATTTATTTATTTACATATTTTGCTGCTAACGTACGTGGTGTCCGGAAATTATGTTAACAGAAAATTCTGTACTTAAAATATAATGTATATTCGAGAGAGTCCCCCGGCGACTCAGCGATAAACTTGTAGGCTTCTAACGCTATAAATCGGAGTTCCATCCCCGCGGAGGGCACAGCACAGATAATCATTGGAATGTCTGCGATTTATACTGCTGGAAACCGGGTTTCGTTACCCGTAGTGGGCAGAGACAGATAGCCCTTTGTGTAGCTTTATGCTTAATAACAAACAACAACAAAATAACAACGCTTGGAAGGTTATTCGAGGAATTTGGGAATAAGTTACGAATATTTAAAAACGGAGACTAAATGACACAAATTAGCGTTTTTCTGTACAATAGTAAGAACACACTTATTTTCTACTCGTTAATTTACTATTGCATACCAAAATGATGTAACTATTGACATTAGATTTTTTAAAAACTAAAGTATTTAACAAACTTTAATAAATTAATGTGGATATTCAATACCGAGAGGTGAATTTACACATTGTTCATTGAATCTTGGTACACTCACTACCAAAATTACACGACACGATTATTTAAACATTTATTTACTTATTTTAGTTAAGCCTGTCATTCAGAAGTCACAACATAACTTGCAAGTTGCTGGAGAGAAGGGAAGACCTGTACAGATCGTGTGTCAAGCAGAGGCAGCGCCAAACGTAAGCTTCGTTTGGACCAGAGATGGTAGATCTATTCCAGGAGAAGACACTCTGAAATTTTCACAACAGGATATCAACCTAGGAGGTTCGGCATGGAAGAGTACCTTATTTGTCAATGATGTAGGGACCAGTGAATTCGGAATTTATGAATGCACTGCCGAAAACGATATGGGAAAAGACGTTGTTCGGATAAAGCTGAGGGAAACAGGTCAGTATACGATTTTGTCATTTATATCAAATGTGCAATTGTAATTGACAACTATGGGGAGTTCCTTTCATAGAAGCTTTTCTTGTAGCTTTTAATCTTCACCAGTTTCTACAAAAGGCGTTATTTTCATCATCCCAAAACATTAATCAGACGAATAACAAGAGATTAGCACTTGTAGTTTTTTCTCAAGTTAAATTCCCGTAAAATGTTTAAATTCACAATTACAAATGCAGAAAAATATTTTAATTTCCTTTAGAGCGTCTTAACGTTACACTTATAAATGTAGACAAACACGTGAATTTCCTTTAGAGCGTCTTAACGTTACACTTATAAATGTAGACAAACACGTGAATTTCCTTTAGAGCGTCTTAACTTTACACTTATAAATGCAGATAAGCATTTCATTTTTTTGTAAAGCATCTAAAAGTTACAATCACAAATGCAGACGAGGAATCAGTTTCTCTGCTAAGCACTTTTCTTTCACAATATGTGTACCTATCATCTTGATATCTTTGTTAAGTATTCATGCTATTCTTCTACGGTATTTCCAATGCAGACTATTTGATCAGATATGTAACCTAAGTGAATTAAATCAGAAAATGATATTTTGAAACTTATATACTTGACATAAAAGGTTCTCAATACAACTTTTATACTTTATAAAGGTAAACCAGACCCGCCCAGTGATCTCTTTGTGGTGAACGTCACTCACAACGCGGTGTCGTTGTCTTGGAAAGCAGGTTTCAATGGAGGCTTTCAACAGCAGTTCAGAGTACGGTTTAAGAAAAAAACATCTGAAGAATACACTTATAGTGATTTCATAGCTGGGAATGCCTCAGGAGCCATTATCAACGGCCTGAACCCCCAAACAGATTATGTCTTTGAAATAATGTCCCGAAACGTTGTAGGCGAAAGTGACTACAGTGAAGAAGTCGCATACATTAAGACCTTAGGTAAGATAATAGATAATTATAATACACCGCGATAAATGTTTGCCCGTAACGTTGTAGACGAAAGTGACTACAGTGAAGAAGTCGCATACATTAAGACCTTAGGTAAGATAATAGATAATTATAATACACCGCGATAAATGTTTGCCCGAAACGTTGTAGGCGAAAGTAACTACAGTGAAGAAGTCGCATACATTAAGACCTTAGGTAAGATAATAGATAATT